TTTTGTAAATATTTTGTACCACATCAAATTTATGTGCAACAAATGCATATATATACAAACCATACATTAAGTAATTGTGAATTATCAAGTAGTTTCATATTGACGCCTCAAAGTTTTTATGTTATGAAAAGCGTTTTATACAATAATTTCCTTTTTCTTAAATTAACAGGGAATGTAGAGTATTCTAACAGCATATCTGTAGTCATACGCTAAAGCATACACGGTATAGACTTCTGGGAATGTTTGTCGTTACGGAAGAGGCAATAAAATTCTGTTAAGTAGGTTCTTACTACTTTTTATGGATATCACAGGGCTTCGAAACATGGCGGTATCATGGACCCGATGGTCGCAGTGCCACATCTCCTCTCAATATTAATTATTAACAATGAACGCAGTATATTGCTTTTTTCGATGAAATTATCGGAGATTTCTTGCTTTTTCATATGTACACAATTCTAGGGTTGCATAGTCTGAGCTTCTATTTGTGTATTAATCACATCTGCTCTATAGTTGTGTTGAAGGCAAGATGTGAATATCAAGATATGGACAATATTCCTGAGAATTTCATTTGGATGCGTTAAATTATGTGAATATTGTTTGGGTTAGTGTAAAGAAAAGTAGAGAGAATGCTTCAAAATTCATTATATTTAAGTGCCAAGATAGAAGAGTTCGCTGATTTAAGCAGTCAAATATGTCCACGCTTTCCCACTGGGCTATCATAAGAAATCAGTTTATTTGTTAGTAAAACATTGTCGCCTTCAAGTTTTCGCATTTGTGAAATGCTTTCACTTTGACATTGCACACGTTTCAAGTACTACTAAATAATACACTCATGATTGTTTGCACGTAAATCTGTAGATACGCGTTCGGTACATCTACATAACTCTACGTGGATGTGGATGTGGCTGCGAGTGGGGATGCGGATGTATGAAGCGGAAAATGTTTTTGTGTACACATAAGCTTATGTGTGCAAACATAAACGCCTTGTCATCATTTTTCGCAATGTAAATAAATACGATTTTTGTTATCCTTCAGCGACGCAGGCGATGAAAACGAAATCGAAATCAAATTCGCAAATGAAACTCAACGCTGCGTACCAAAAATAAATGAAACGTTATTGATTCAATTAAAATGAAATTAAATTAAAAGGATTCATTCTCACATTTCATTGTCGTAAGGTTGTATGACTTACACATACCACGTGTACGATTGTATCTATGTGCATAAATCGTTCGCTTGTGTGCATGTTCCTTTTGCCAATTGTTGGCAAATCTGAAGGCGTATCAAGGCAAAAGTATAAAAGTATAAAAGTACAACAAAAAAGTCAAAAAAGAAATAAAATAAACTTGCGATGCTGCAAATTTTGCCATAAGGAAGAAAATGAATATTTTTATGTGAAGGTAAAATATGTTCATTGGATTAATTTAATTGTTATTGATTGGTATTTTAATTTATTTTTCTTTTACATATAATCAGATACTTTTTTTCCGTACTTTTGCTATCGGCTTGTATTTTAGAGCTGAAATGGAAACCATAAGAGTGAAGATAAAAAAATTTAATTGCTGGAAGTGCTAAAATTAATTGAGGTAAAGTGAGAAGCATTCAGTGTAAATCAAAGTCCTTCAGACTAAAGAATTCATGTCAGTTGCTTTAATTAGCTTTTCAAATGTCTAATTAGTAATTGAATTTTTTAGGTTAATTATGAAAGATTCATTTCTTGATGTTCTTAATTTGCTTTCATCGGTTTGAGTATATTTTGGTATTAAGAAAATACAATCTGATAAAAAAAACATAAGGAATATTCCGAGTGATTATAAAACTTTTGCATCGATACCTACATTATTAAAAATATTAATGTATGCTTAAAAATTCTTTTTAATTTTTTACAATTTTTTAC